GCAATGGATTTGGGAAAGAGTAACAGTACCGTGGATAAGGTGCTTGCCTTGCATGCAACCGACCCACTTGGTTTCCCTGAGCACCACCACTAAAGAGGCAGGAATAAACCCTGAGTACTGCCAGGTGTGGCCCCAAAACCAAAAAAAAAAAGTAGATTTGGTTATTAGCAGACAAAGAAATGTTCTACCACTATTTTGAACATTCAAAATGACCAATACTTAGAAAGTCATTCTTTGGATCAGGTCATTTCAATACCTAATTTAATGTCTGTCATTTTTCCAGCAATTGTGTGTTCACACCCCCTGATCATGTCATAGAACTTAATTCAAACATACCACATACATCACTAAGGACAGTGGACTGTTGGCTACACACATCTACTGCTTATTCAAAGTATATGGTTATGAAAACAAAAAAAAATTTAATTACAGGGGCTGGAGCGATAGCACAGCAGGTAGGGTATTTGCCTTGCACGCAGCCGACCCGGGTTTGATTTCCAGCATCCCAAATAGTCCCCCGAGCACCGCCAGGAGTAATTCCTGAGTATATGAGCCAGGAGTAACCCCTGTGCATCGCCGGGTGTGACCCAAAAAAGCAAAAAAAAATTAATTACAAATATAGTGGTCAAAGTGATAGTACAGTGGGTAGGGTGTTTACCTTGCATGCAGGTGACCCAGGTTCAACCCCCACCATCTGTTTCCCCAAGCACCAACAGGAGTAACCCCTGAGCATCACTGGGTGTGACCCTCAAAAATCCCAAATCCTTAGAGCTACCCTCAGATGGGTCTCAAAGCCATACTATATAGAGGTGTGGGCTTGTGAATTGTGCTCAAGTGGTGCTTGGAAGCCCTTGGGGCTAACACGTGATGCATGGGATTGGAGTCATGGTGCCAGGGATCAAACTCAGGGCCACCTCCCCCATCCCTGCATGCAGACTGAAGGAAGTCAAGGTTTTGGTGAGCTTGCTGTTGGAATACCAGAAACAGGCAATTTCAGCAGACATAGAAGTCTATGCAAGGAAAACACCCTGTCAACTATCTCTCAGGCCCTGGAACTGTCTTTTGAGAAAAATTATTTAATAAGGACCAACTTGGCTCATTACAGGGAGAAGTTAAGTCATATGCCTTGGTGCACAAAAGTGGTTGGAAGGTGAGGAAAGATGCTGGCATATGAGAGCTAATCTTTGACTTAAGAACAATAAAAATGTGAAAACAAAAGTGGTTTGTTGCAAATAGTCCCAAGATTGTTTTAAATGTGTGTTTGTTTGTTTTGGGGGGCCTCAGGGGTTACTCCTGGTGATGCATGTGGGACCATATGGGATGTTGGGAATCAAACCCAGGTCAGCTGTGTGCAACTGCCTTATCCACTGCACTATAACTCTGGCCTGCAGATGTGTTCTTTTATGGTGATAATCATTTATACTGTCCTGTGTCAACTCTGAAAAACTATAATTGAAACCATGTTATTTTTTTTAAAAATAAAATCATCTTACAGGGTCTCACAAATAGTGCTTAGAGACCCTGGGGGCCAGTACTGCTAATACTTAGTCTGGCTGTGTGGACAAAAATATTCAGCACTTGGGCCTGGTATGTGGTATAACTCAGGTTCAAAGATGCTGGTGGCCACCAGGGATTGCTGGTGAAGAATCACGTGCCAGGAATTGAACTTGGGGCTTCCCATAAGAGGGAGAGGTAGAGTGACAGGGGTATGTGTCTGTGTGTGTGTGGGAGTGGTGGTGGTGGGGGGGAACAACACCGAGGTGTAGAATACCAAAAGCTGTGCTTAGGTTTTGATGCTATAGTTTTGTCTAGCTATGCTGTCTAATTTCTTTATCCATTCTACTACTTTGGTTTAGTGCAAGGGAAACTTTGGAGAGCATGGTAGAAATGCTTCTTCTGAAACAGCATATATGCTCATGATGTGACTTTTTTTCACTATTAGAGCTTATACAAGGAGCTAAGAGCTTTGTTCTAAATTGCTGTACTTTCTTACCTTCCATTTTCAGGTAACCTAAATCACAACTGTTTTGAAATCTGAGTCAGGTGCTATAAAAGTGATTTCTGAAAGGACTTAAATCATCATAGGTAGCAAGACAGGATGCAGCTAACATATAGAATAAAAACAACAGAATAATCTTAAAAACAATGATAACAGCAGCTCATTAGTGTTCACAACTCACAGGACATGGTTCTAAGTGATTTATGCATCACATCATTTATTTCTCACAAGTATTCTGTTAGCAAGGTGCTCATCTCTTTCAGATGAGGATCCTGAAACACAGGTAGTCACTGGCAGCTGGCATCTGAACCCAAAGAATCTGGTTTCCAAATATAAGGTTCTGCCCTGTTGCTGGGGCCATGTGGTCCCAGGGATTGAATTCAGGGCCTCATACAAGCAAGGCGTGTGCTCTGTCACTTCAGTCACATCCCTAGTCTCCGAGATGTTAGGTTTTTAGTTAAACAGTACAGTGTGCGAATTTTTAAAAAGTCCTACGTATGTAGCTAACTAGTATATACTAGATTTTAAGTGAGATTTCCAGGTGAACACCGTGAACTGCAGGCCCAATAACAAATTCTTGTGCTGTTTTCTCTTGGTCACACACACTGCTAATGATTCAGGTATCCTGAGGTGCCAGAGACTGAACCAGGTCTGCAAGTAAAGCCATAAGCTTCTCTGGCCCACTGAATTCCTACTGTTTAAGCCGGGGCTTTTGATGGGGAAGCGATACCCATTTATTGTCAGGGGCCACTCCTGGCTCTGCACTCTTGGAACCATACGGTACATGGGCTTGAATCCCAGGTTCCCACATACAAAGTATATGCTCAGTCCATTAAACTTTCCCTCCAGCTATTGTGCTGTCCTTTCTAGTTCTTCTAATCACATCCAGTGGTGCCAGGGGGTCACACAGGTGACTCTTCAGGGGATCACAAGGTGCCAGACTGAACCAGGCCTTCCACATGCTTAGCATGCATTCAACTCCTTGAACCTTATTCCTGACCTCTCTTTTGCCAACTTTTGAAGTTGGTTTACACATAGTTACTCAGTAATAAAATTTTTGAGAGATAAAAACTGAAATTAAAATCCTTGAAAGAGAAAAGTGAGAGGGAAGGGACAGTGGCGAGAAGGGGTGGTGGTATATACGTGGAGACGAAATGTGTTTTAGGAAAATAAAAGCTAATTAAAATTAACTGGTAAGTTATATAAATTCTAAAACTGATGCCAGATTTCTTAATTTCAGATACTAGAATTAAAATTCTAGTTTTTGTTTTAATTCTATAGAATCAATACTAATTATTAGTCACAGAAATATCTTGATAAAAGCTAGGTGATAGAGACTTCATGATTATAGTTTTGGAAAACTATCACATAATGTCAAGATTTAAGGTAGGTTCAGAGAAAGGTCTGCTAGTATAATTTTAAAGGTATAAGGAGGGCTATCTTTTTAAAGACAAATCAAGACCAGAGAAGAGCTTAATGTGCTGAGTTCATGCTTTGCACGTGGGAAGCCCAGGTTTAATCCCCAGTAGCTCTGCTGGGAACAGGCCCTGAAATTTCTGGCAATACCCTACCTCCCTGTCCCCAAGGGGAAAACACCACAATACAGCAGTATAATTAAATTCTAAGAGTAGCACTCTAAAAGGATACAGATAGCCTACATTAGCAGTAAAACAGCTTGTAATACCTGATGGTAAAACATTATTGCATTTAGTAAGTAACAATGAGTAGTGAAACACACACAATACCCTCCTTAAAATGTTTCACTGAGACTCAACCGTTTGGCTTAATGTAATGAGGTATTTGTAGAATTATTTGTTCACATTTTATGATGCGCTTAAATGGAAAGATGGAAAAGTTCATTTTTAGAAGGGGAAGGGAGTCAGTAAGAAAAATATTAGACCAAGTTTTTTTTTTTTAAAAAAAGTACCTAATCAATCTCTAACTTATTGAGGTGTTTTCTACACTTCCTCCCATCCACTTACACTCACACTCGCATGCTCGCGCTTGTGTGCGCGCACGCGCACACACACACACACATACACGTAGTTAATTCGCATCAAAAATGATTTAAAAAAGTTGCGAAAACCTGTATGTATTTCCTTGTATCATTGCTAACTTTTAAAGGGAGGTAAGACCTTTGCTATTATCTCAGAGATTAAGATATGCTTTATTAAATTCTGAGGACAAAATTCTTAAGTCCAGAAAAACCAATTTAAGCTTCAAAAGATATTGAATCAGATTGTCAGTGACTGAAATTATTTGGTGATAAAGACCAATTCCCACGAGAAGATAATTATTCAATTAGCTATTTTTAACTTGCTGGGTTACTGGTATATTATTTATTGGAAACTTTATAGCATTTTAAAAGAAAAACTTGAGGAGGAAGGGTTGGCCTGTAAGTTGAATCATCTGTACTGCTTTGATTACTGTAAATCTAGGTAAGGAAAAGGAGTGCCATTTTATGGGATTTTCCTTTTCTGGTTTTTGAGACTATTCAACCTCATATTAAATTTACATGTCGACATAATAGCTCACCAGAATTTAATGAAACTGGGCATATTCTTTTAATTCAGGTTTATTATGAAACACATAGTACTTTGATTCAGAAAGGTGAAAATTGAATGAAATTTGAAAATTTTGGGCATTACCTAAAGCTATCATTTCATTACTGTGTCAATGATTTTTTTTTTAAATTAGGATTTCCCCCTCACTCTACCGAGTATATCCTTTAATTCACTCCTGTTAGTGTCACCCAGGATTAGACAGTAAAAATAGCAGAACTATTTTTTGTTTTGGTTTTGGGGAACTGAGTCTGGACCTCCCCTATGCAAAGCAGGCATTCACACTTTATTAGGTTTAGTTTAATAGTTTATCAATTCTTAAAATATACTTCAAAAGAAGTATATTCAACAGATTCTTTAAAGGAGCCATATCAATCAGTAGCCTAAATCTTGAAAGCTCCATTTGAATGTAATTTTCAGTCTTTAAATTTTAACTGTCATTGTTTATTACTCATTGTTTTATTACTGTTTTGGCTACATTCTCTACAATTTCAGCAGCATCGTAAAGAGACAATGTGTCTATGTACAATAAAAAAAAAACACAAAATGGCTTGTAACATCAGAAATAAGAGCCTAAGTTCAACTGTACAACATTAAAGAGAATCTGTGGCGAGCACAACCTCCTTTTCTTGGCAGCATGTACAACATATATATATATATATATATATATATATATATGAGTTCAGTATTATGACTGTGACAGTGAAGAGAGATCCTCACAGGAGTGGAATACAGAATCCTGAAAAATGATTTCTACCATACAGGGCAGTTAGAAAATGTTCACATTTTAACAAATCTGTACAAACCACAAGAAATTTGTTTTTATAGGACCGCCATCCCACCTTGCTTGGTATCTTCTAGGACGTAGTATAACCATAAATGATTTATAAATCTAGTACATATGTACTCTGGAGTCCTAGAACCCAAGGAACTGACTTAGAGAAATCTCTATGCCCCACATGGCTCATTTTTACATGCTGTGATTGTTAATAAGTAAATGCCTGCTTTTCCTATCTCTCTATGATGTACAGTCAACTTGCACCTTTAAGGAGGTCACTGATTAGCAAAGAAGCAACATCATTTAGCAGCAATTAAAGCGCCTTCAAGAAGACTTAAAAAAAATACAATATCCAATTAGAAAAGCCATATTTTTAAACATTTATACAAGAATAGGCTGCTGAAACTTGGTAATTGAAATTATGACATCTGTACAACAATTTACAATAGAGCTAGAAGGGAATTTCATTATCCTGCATAGAACTGGTCTACATTTGGTTACATACTGTCATTTGTTATAATGAACAAGGCCTGGTGATAAAAGAAAAGTATCTGTTGAAAGCACTGGAGATATTACAATTTAGTGGATTCAACTGATTTCAAAACAAGCAGCTCATTTTGTCCAAGGTGTAAAGTATGTAGGAGTAGCTCTCCCATTACATAACCAGTGAGGAAAACGGACATGTGGTTTCGAGGTACAACTTGGTAAAAGCCGGAACAGGCAAATGACAAAGTCTAATTTTGTCCAAGGATTCTAACTCTCACATTCTATTTCTATAAAATACAACTTTCACTGTCATTCAGTTCTTACTTTGGTTTCAGCAGATTAACTGCCGAATGCTGAAGAATGTATCCAGGCACTATAGTTCTTATGTTAGAAATGTCTCATTTTTTTAAATGTGTTTTTAAATAATGAAAAACTACCCTTCCTTCATATTAGAACTCTCTAACATCAACCAAATGTATTATAAACGTTATTTACAGTATTTTCCCAAAGAAATAATTTTTCTTCTTCAACAAGGTCTTCCTGTTTTTGTACAACAGGCAGTCATTGCTCAAAGGTATAGTCAAAAGTATATTTATTCATTGTCCATGATCCATCTCATACCCAATGATGCTATTATGAAGAACTTCAGTTCTCAACCACGTCCTCTGTAAAAATGAAAACAACAACAACAACAACAACAACAAAAACCCACTCAAAATGTTCTCAAACTCAAGTATACATCTGGAAGCAATTCAAAGGTATCATGCCAATTTGAAGGAGAGTCAGTAAGTAATTATGCTTGAAGAAGGAGGTGTAGGGGATGCTGTCAGCCCGACCATGTGTAAGTTTCCTGAAGAATTGGATCTTCTCATGTGCGGGAGAAGGTATGGGTCACTTGCCAATTGGTGTACATCAAAGCGATCTTCTTTTCGGTATGCCAAACAGCGTCTTATAAAGGCCTTAAAGAGAAGTCAGCAATCAGAATTATCTTTCCCTTTTAAAAAGTAATCAAGTGAATCATATAGATAAGCAGACTTAAGAAAATAAGACTTGAACTGCCAAACAAATGAAATTCAGTATTTTATCTCCCTGCAGCAATAAAATTTTCATTCCAAATTTAAGTCCCAGCCCCTATAGAATTTATTTTTAGTCTAAATTATTACAACTATATAAACGTATCGCTGAATCTACATTTCTGCTTACATAATTTTACAAAATTTACAAAATTCTTTCTCTTAAATTTTTTAAGATAGTTAAAGTTAATTTTTTAAGATAGTTCAGTTTGGCCAAAGGGAATATTGTATTTAGCCATGTTTTCTTCCTACTAAGCATAAAAACTATCTTTCAATGAAAGGGACATCTATTAGTATTCAAGATTACACTCTGAAAACGCTAATGGCATCACTATCCACCCCCCCCCTTCTTAAACTGGTTTATAAGGTCAAAATGAACTAAAAAAGGCACACAAATCATAAATATACAGGATAAAATGAACTGCAACTAGATCAAGAAAATGAACTTCAGCAGAAAAAGCTCCTGATCCTTTCTATGCACTGGATCTGGGTTTAACTGAAGTATCACTGACTTTAACTTCTACAACAAGTGAATTTTGCTTGGTTTGAACTTTATATAAATGAAATAAAAGATTATGTTTGCATCTGCTTTTTCAATCCACTGCAAGATAAAATGTTTAGTTTGTCCTGAAATTCTCAAGTTCCACATAAATTCATGTACTAAGATACATAATATAAATTCAAGTTTAATCACATACTGTTAACTAATATTTTTCTTTGCTGAAAACGCATTAAAATATTTTCTCTACCAGTAATCAACATTTAGCTTATTAACATTCAATCTTTTTAATCCTTTAGGTCTTATATATTAGCATGATCAAAAAGATGGAAAAAATCAAGAGGAAATAATATGCTGAAAAGAGGAAATAACATGTTTTACAGGATGAAAAGCTACCAAAAGCAACATTATGTAACAAGGAGGGAATACACTTAAAGAAGCCCATAGCAGGTGAGAAGAGATTATTTGGCAAAAGTATATCCTGTAGTGAAAGGAGATTATATGAAAACAAGCAAATGTCACTATACCAGTCTTTCCAGGTCTCAAGAACATGACTATGACACCTCTGAGGTGTCTAGAACCAGGGATAAATAAATGGAGTTTCTCTTTGGTAAATTACGCCCATGCCCATTTTTTGTCAGACTTTATAAAGTTCTTGCATGGACTGTATCAAGTTCTGTTCTAACTCACTGCATGAACAGAAAGGGAAGACAAAATCCAGACACCAAGATCTTTTAAAAGGAGTCAGGTTGGGCAGGACCAACAGTACAGCGGGTAAGGTGCTTGCCTTCCTCACAGCTGACTATGGTTTAATCCCCAGCGTCCCGTATGGTTCCTTGAGTCCTGCCAGAAGTGATCTTGTGTGCAGAGCCAAGAGTCAGCCCTAAGCACCACCAGCTGTGATGCTCAGTCCCCAAGCAAAACAAAGAAGCCATGTTTTTCTTTATAAAAAATCTTCCAGAAGTCTTTGAAAAAGCCATTAAATATATGGAAGAAACTGAGCTGAACTATGTGTAAACACAATATCCAGAGTACAATGATGTTCATCCAGGTGCAGCATCTACTTATATGCTCTAAGAATCTAGAAACTGTATTACCTAAAAATTATACTCACCAGCTCAGACTATTAAGTGAGAATCGACATCACAAAGTAAGTTTCATGATCAGTATAACAAAATACAAATATGAAAAAGTTCAGTGTGAAGGTTTATTGAAAACTGTCATTAATTAGATACTAACAAGGCAGCCTTAACTCAAACTGCTGTAAGTAAGCAGCGCTAAGGAAGATATAACAGTTTTATCAAGAGCTAGAGCACAGGTCAAGGGAATGGCTCAATGAATGGCACAAGCCTTGCATGTGCTGGGTGAGTCTGAATCCTGGTATCACACATATACAGACTCTTCTCTCCACCAGCAGCTCCTCAACTTTGGGCCCTAGCACTGAACTACTTTGCAGGTTTGGAAAGTACTGCTAGGAGTGACACTGAGAATTGCCTGGAAGGTCAAAACAAACAAACTGGGCACTTTGAACCAAAATTCTGCTATTTATGAGCTGCCAAGATTCTAAATAAGGCTAAAGGGTTACTGATCTTTTTTTACTTTGTAAAAGGGGAATAAGAGCAACAAAATACACCATATACCATTGCCATTGTATCAGTATGCTTGGTATACAGAAAGCACCAAATAGATGGTATATTTTGCAAATGTCTCAGGATTTCTGTTGTTGTTTTTGGGCCACACCTGGCTGTGCTCAGGCCTTACTCCTGGATCTGTTTTTAATATCACTCCTGGCAGGGTTCGTATGTGGTGCTGGGGAATCAAACCAGGGTCAGCTGCATGCAAGACAAGCACTCTGCCCACTGTGCTATCTCTCTTGCACCAATTCCTCAGCATTAACAAGTTTATAAAGAGATGATGTGCCCAGATCTTGTTGTTTCCCCGATTTTCAAAATAAACTAGTCTAAAGATAGAGACCAAATTTGGGTCTTTGATAGATGAAAACTATCACAACTAAAGGCCTAAGTAACTCCCATTCACTTAGTAACTTCTTCACTTTCTTCAATGCCTTCCTCTAACCCTCCAGCTCATTTTTCTTCAATTACTAGCCTCCCATTACAGATTTTCCCTACAATAATCCCCTTTATTTTCTTGTTAATACATACTTCATTTTAAATACATTTATGACATACATTTATCTCATGAAAATTATTTACAAATATTTATACCTTTGCTTCACTGCTTACAACTGGTTTTACAGGGAACTGGACTTCTGTGGCTTTTAATATTGTATTTTCTTGAAGAATGTCTTGTTGAGACTGATTGTGACCAAATGGCTAAAAATAATGAAAATGTCAGTAAAATTAGTTCATAAAATACTTAAGCAGATCCTGTCAATGAATTTCTAAGATATGACTGTGTTATTTAAGAAAATCTTATCCAAGGGAAACAACAAATGGCCGCATTTCTGGCAGATATGATACCCAGGTTTGATTCCAGGTACTGATGGCCTAAGGCATGATTCTTCCTGGGAGATCCACTTCACCTCGACCACACCCCCACCCCCATCTAACTTCTGTTACTCGGATGTTGGGATACAGTATCATAGAAAAAAGGTTATCAACTGAGAGCATGCTAAGAAAACCCAATTAACTAATATTTAAACACGGCAGAAACACTGTCAACAAGTAGTAGAAAATCCTAGGTCTGATGACAATATAGAGGTTGGGGAGAATTAAGACTAAGTTTGACGGCATCATCTTGAGGAAGCACAGCTAGAAAAAACTATAGAAACATGAGGGGTGGGAGAAGGAGATGTGAGGAAATACAGAGATTGAAGAATAATAAAAAGAAAAAAAAGTAGCCCTGTATCTGTATTGCAAACCATAATACTCAAAAGGGGGGGGGGGGAGGAGAGAGAGAGAGAGAGAGAGAGAGAGAGAGAGAGAGAGAGAGAGAGAGAGAGGGGTGCCTACTATATAGAGGCAGGCAGGCTGGGGTGTGTGTGTGGGGGGGGGCAAATTATACAGGTGAGGGATGGGCGATGGAACTGAAACCTGATCACTGATAATTATCAGCTTTGTGTATCTCATCCTGATTCAAAACAAACCCAAAGATTAGCACTACTGACAGCAACTTCTGTAAAATAAAAGAGGCAATGAGCTTCTAACACACAGCTTTGCGATAAGGGTCTGATCTTTGGCACTGCATGGTCCCCAAGCATGGAATTGGGTGTGGCCACCAAACAAAAAAACACAAGAAGCAGGAAGAAGCAGGATTTACTTGCTGATAACATTTTGCATTTAATAGTAAAATTCAACTTAATTTACTAAGTCTTGTGTATTCTGTACTTTAACTTACCTTTCTACCATACAGACACTGAAAGAAGATCACTCCAACTGACCAGACATCAACCTTGTTGGAAATCTTTGGTGGCTCTTTTCCAACTACAAAACACTCAGGAGGTAAATACCTATTGTTTATGGGGGAGAGAGAAAGGGAAGGATAATGTCAGCAGCTATAACTTAAAACCTAGGTGTAGACTCTTAAGAGTTCTAATTTTATCCTTACTCAAACCTTAGGACTTTCATCAACAAAAAGCACAAAATGTATTTACATTTCTTGTGCCATCTGATTCTACAGTTAAAGCATAAAGTATACTATATATATATATATATATATATATATATATATATAATCTACAGAAATCAAAACTTGTTAGAAATTAGAGTACCATCCCTTTGCAAGTTCAAACTATAGGCAGTTCTCTTTCTTAAAATAATGTTTAATAACTTTTTCTGGGGTGGGGTAGTAACACATCTGGCAGTGTTCAGCACTTACTGCAGTGCTGAGATTGGAACTGGAGTTGGCAGTAAGAATCTTAACCCCTGAAACTATCTCTCAGCCCTGATCAAGCAATTTCTTTAACCTGCACAGCACTTGAGCCCATTTTTTTCTTGGGGTGGGGGGGTGGAGGGCACATCCAGAGGAGCTTAGGGGACCCTAAGGATGCCAGGGACTGAATCCAGATCACCTGCATGCAAGGCAAGCATCCTACCTGTTTTACTATCTCTCCGGCTCCAAGAGCTCATCTTTCTTATTATTCTCTCTCTTCTCTTCCCGCCCCTCTCCCTCTCCCTCTGGGTTTTGGGGTCATACCCAGTAATGCTGAGGGCTCACTAGGAAGTGCTTGGGAGACTATGTGATGGCTGGGATTGAATCTGGGTCAGCTGTGAGCAAGGCAGGAGCCTTACTTAATTAACCCCTGTACTATCTCTTGCATCCTCATCTTTATCTAGTGACATTTGTACCCTCTCCTCCCCCACTGCACCTTTTCAAAATCACTACACAAAGCAATTTACTTTCTTCAATGCCTTCCCCTAACCCTCCAGCTCATTTTTCTTCTAGACTTGCTCACCTGACCTTAAATAAGCCTTGGACGCTTCCCAACAGGAAGTGCTTGCTTCTTACTGCTGGTTAGTATGACAAACTAAAAATCATAATCAAGTAAGAAGTCAAAGAGTTCTTATTTGTTGTGTAGTTTTAAATATAGGCAGTATGTGAACTATGTTGCATATTCAAAAATGCCATATTTATAAGTATAAAGAAGAGAAAAATGAATGTCAGCTCAGGCTGTAAGTAAAGATTCATCACGGATGCAAGCATCTCACACCTCCAGGTAGATGTGTGGCTCACCTAGACCAAAAATCCTGTAAGAGTATACCTAAGTTGGAATTTACTTTTTTCTTTACAAAGTTATATATTCAATAAGCTGAAAGACTTGAATTGCAGTCAAAGACAGGTATCTTATAAAAAAATATGTGAAATATCTTAAAGAAGACCCACTAAAGCTATTGGTAGAAATATTCTTCTAGCCCCCCACCTCCAATTCAAGCAAAAACATTTCTTAAACAGTGTCAGTTTGGCATAAATTTTTGCTCATTTTAGGGGCATACCCAACTATGCTCAGGGAGCATATGAAGTGTCAGAAGCTGGGTCAGCCATAAGACAAGTGCTCTGTCCTTTCTCTTGGGTCCCCCTGTGTAGTTTTATGTGTGTGTCTAACTTCAACAAGAATGAACCCTGAACACTAATGCGTCACTGTCCCTACAGGTAGAAGGGGGTAAACAAGAAGAACGATTGTAGTAACAGATATCATATACCCTTAAGGAGGGGTGACACCAGGATTTAGTAACTGGTTACATCTGAGACCAAAGAAATCTGGTGCTACTTATAGCTTAATCTTCTGAGAATGAAAACAACTTCATCCTCAGAAAAGCATTACAAAGGACATCCCAGTTTATTACTAAGTATTAGCTAGAAAAGTTTGTATAAGTAGAAACTAAGCTTAAAAAAAAGTGGAAACACCCAAAATGAGAGAGAGAACACAGGGGATTGCCCTGCCACAGAGGCAGGGGGGATGGGGGATAGGGGTGAGGGGGATATTATCCATGGTGGTGGAAAATGGGCACTGGTGGAGGGATGGGTATTTGATCATTGTATAATCGAAACCCAAGCACAAAAAATAGTAAATCTACAACTGTACCTCATGGTGTTTCACTAAAGAAAAAAAAAAAACCAGTGGGGAATACAGTATGTAACTTCTTATGTGGAATATTTAATATGTGCCCTTCTTGCACAGAATGTAAGTGCCTGTCTCCTGCCCACCAATGTGAGGGAAACAACATAGTGCATTTGAAGTGGGACTGAAGACCCATATTTAGAACATGGTTTTCAAGCTTATGTAAGTCCAGGGTTCTATCAAGAATTCTTGTTTTTGTTAATTTTATGAGGATTCTATCTTACTGCTAAAAAGTCTACAGAAACACTGAATTTCAGGATGCTACTCTTACTAGTTTGATAATATAATGGGTTTTTAAGACTTAAAGAAGCATGTTTTAATCTATTTCTTAAAAAAGAAAATAAAGTTTTGGGCTTTTTCATGTAGGAATACTGCTATTTATTCAGCCACTGATTAGCTGAATGATTTGGGCATGAACTCCACAAAAGCCCAAAACTTTAGATATTCATTTGCTAACTAACTTATTCTGAAAACAAAGTTTGTTTTGGAATTTTATAATAATGTATATTCTCCACTTTGATGAATTTCTCCACTTCGATGATTTTAACAAATTTGAAAATGCACAGTAAAGTAGTTTTCATGAGCATCTAGGTAACTTGATGGAGATGGCATTCTTTTACATGTAAAGGTATGAAGATATCAAACCATCTCCAAAGTACTATCAACAAAGGTCTACAAAAACTTGGCCATAAAAACCACAACTGAAGAACTTAGAAGTTTGTGGTTACTGCTTATATACTTATGAAGATGTTTTATTCACATAACTATAGTTATGTAAATATACTAGAACTAGAAGAGAATCCACAAATTCTCCAAGTTAAGGGTTTCTAGCTATTAAGCGCTAGAAGTTAGTTACTAACACCAAGTCATCCTCCCTGGTCCCTCCAGTTTGCTGGTGTTTGCAGGGAAGATCAGATGAGAAGAGCACTGATGATAGTAGTCTCTTGATTTCCTATAGATAATCTCAAAGATAGATGACAAACTCTTACAAAAGATGGCACGCATCTAGAAACTTTTCTGTATTTTTAATATACTTGCCAGTAAGTGCCTGCTCCTTGGGAAGTTAGATCCATTCCATCTACGCCATAGCTATCATCGTCCATAATCTTAGATAGACCAAAATCAGTGATTTTGATTTCTCCACATGCTGTTCCATCTACCAGAAGAATATTTCCTAGGACAGAATATAAAGTTCTTTTAATGTAGAGGTAAAAATTTTTTTATACATAGATGAAGAAATTACCCATTTCAGTGATTATAGCCTGCTTTTAAGTAATACCAGCACAAAATGAAATGAAAGCATCACATAATGGTCGCGTCACACTTCCCCTCCATTTTAGATTAAAATCCACAATGACTATGCAGTGACATGCAATCTATATGGACAAGATGGCTTTTGGAAAATATATAATATTTATTTTTTTGGTGGGGGGGGCTCACAGACTGAGTTCAGAGGCTACTTCTGGTTCAGTGTTCTAAGGACATTCTTTAGCCCTGGCACTCCATTGACTTTTTCTTTTTTGGTTGAGTCACCCGGTGATGCACAGGGGTTACTCCTGGCTCATGCACTCAGGAATTACTTCTGGCGGTGCCTGGGGGACCATATGGGATGCTGGGAATTGAATCTGGGTTGGCCGCATGCAAGGCAAACACCCTACCCACTATGCTATTGCTCCAGCCCTCTCCATTGACTTTTTTTTTTCTTTTTGGGTCACACCCAGCAATGCTCAGGGGTTACTCCTGGCTCTGCACTCAGGAATTACACCTGGCGGTGCTTGGGGGACCATATGGGATGCTGGGAATCGAACCTGGGACGGCCGCGTGCTGGGCAAATGCCCTACCCGCTGTGCCATCGCTCCAGCCCCCCTCCATTGACTTTTAAAAACTAAACTAAAAGTCCCATTTTCAGTTGTCAGGGAGATGGTATAGGGATTAGAGCACATGCTCAGCCTCAGTGAACCCAAGAATTGAACCCCAGCATGAAATATTTCCCCGAGTACCACTTTAGCAGGTCAACTGAGAAGTGCTGGAGTTGCCCTCACCCCTCCAGGTCATTTTCAGTAACTTAATGTGACTTAAACCTTTATTTACTCTATTAGGTTGAGGAAAGGGTGGATAAAAGTTCTGCACGCATGGTCCAAGAGAAACTGCGATCCTGGACCCATCAACAAAGGTAAAGGAAAAATTATTAAGTAAGGGTCAGGTAAATGTCAAGATGTGGCTCATGTGGTAGGATACAGGCATGCCCCACCACCACCACTAGGAGTGGCTCCATAATCCCAATCAATGCCAGGTGGCCCCGACAACAATGAAAAGATTATTAGACACAAATCATTAATTACCTGGCTTTAGATCATAATGTATAATAGGGGGTTTGATTTCATTGAGATATCTTAGTGCATTTACAATCTGCATTACAATAGACCTAGCTTCTTTCTCTGACATTAATTTATGTTGCTTCAGATAGAAATCCAAATCATTGCCTTCACAGTATTCTAACACTGTACAAAACCTACAATGAAGAAAAAAAAAGATGTGAAATATTATCCAAAAATTTAGAAACAATGGAAAAATGAAATGAAGAGTATTTGTCTTATCATGGAACAGGGAAGTGAAAGCAATCTTTTTCTTGAAACAATCCTTATAATCACTTACGTGTCTGTATCCAAGGAGAAATAATCATAAAGTTTGACTATTCTGGGATGATCCAGTTCTTTGTGTATTCTATATTCTCTACAGGCATGTCTATGGAAAGAAAACCTATTAATTCTCTGTGATCATTAAATATATATTCAAATTGATAAAGACTATAAAGTGTAATATTTACTTGTGGTAGTTTTCCTTCTTCTCATCCCTCCAACTTTTATTAAGCTGATGTATCTTCACAGCTGCATACCTTTGTTCATAAAGATCAAAAGCCTAGGGTTGAAGGCACACGAGAGGTAGGACTAGAGACCAAATGAAGTACTTTAGAGGATATTATTTGTCTTAAGAGAGACATGTCTGATAGTTTTGTTTAATAAGATAAAACACAATTTTTGGTAATCATGTCTGCTAAGATTATATAAGTCCTATGACATTAACAGAAATAAGGTAAAAATTCCGTGGTGCTAAATTAGAAAAATTCTTAATCTGAATTTTCACGTTCAAATTTTATAAATGCAGTGCTAGATCACAATACAACAAAACTATTATTTGTCTTTAATATGGACTTGTTCCAACCTATTACTGGCAGTAATAGAAAGCATACTGGAAAAGAGCTGGCTGTAAAGTAAGCCCTTTCCCCTAAATTTTAGACCTCCACTTCCCCTGCTTCTTTGAAAATGAACATTTTTCCAGCTGTTTATAAAAAGGCTAGAGTGTGGGCTAGAACAATAGCACAGCGGGCAGGGCATTTGCCTTGCACGCGGCCGACCCAGATTCGATTCCCAGCATTCCATATGGTCCCCCGAGCACCACCAGGAGTAATTCTTGCATGAAGAGCCAGGTGTAACCCCAGAGCATTGCCTGGTGTGACCCAAAAAGCAATAAAAACAACAACAAAAAAAACCCAAAAACAAAAACCACCAAAGCCAAAAAGGCTAGAGTGCAAGAATGATCAGTTTTAAGGCTTTAGGTGAACTATGTATTAAAAAAGTAATAGCACAGTGGGTAGGGCGTTTGCCTTACAAGCGGCCAACATGGCCGACCCGAGTTCGATTCCTCCGCCCCTCTCGGAGAGCCCGGCAAGCTACCGAGAGTATTCGATATGCCAGACACAGTAAAAAAGTAATAAAGAAATTAAATAATTTAGGTTATACTGTGATTATTGATAAGATGGTCCCTTAAAAAGAAAAAACTCTTAGAATGTATATTCATATCCTGTTCCCTTCCCTCACAAATCAATTTAACCTAAAAATAAGCAGTAGTATAGGGGTCTATTTTGTTATGAAGCTATAAAACCATGAGGTTAAAAAGTAATATAGGATGTTACACTACTTAAGGATACTCATTTTGGAGTCAAATGAACTTATTAGCTGACTGATTCTGTATTAATGCACTCTTTTTACAATGTCTGCCTCATTAATAATGTTTGGGTTGTTGAGAGGATTAAATTGTGAAGCAGAAATTATTTGGAATAATAGATGAACCATAGTAAATATGTAATAAATGCTGGGTAATTGCAAAATTACTAATAAAAGTGAAGTTTAAAGAAACAGAAACAAAGGTCCAGGGCCAGAGAGATAGTAAAGAGGGCAAGTTCTTATATTGCTTGCAGCCGACCTGGATTCTATCCCTGAGCACAGAGCCAGAAATAAACCTGAGCACTGCTGGGTGTGGCCTCCAAACAAAACAAAAATTCATGTGAGAAAAAGCATATGGGATGAAACTAAAAGTAGTTACATAAAGGATAATAAAACAAAGTTGTTAGTATATTACTAAAAAATAAGGTGATACTGAAATTAGAAATGATCACACTATGGCATAGAATCTTTTTTTTTTTTAAATAATCTGCTTTATTCTCAATGGACTGGGAAACCATGAGAGAGGAATTGGAGCAAGCTGCTCTTAGTATTCCCTCCCTCCCTCCCTCCCTCCCTCCTTCTTTCTTTCCTTTCTTCCTTGGGGGCACTCCTGATTGTGCTTAGGGGATTATATAGTGTGCTCGGGATTGATCCCAGGTCCAGGTCTGCCATGTGCATGGCAAGTCCTTACCCATAGCACTCTTTCCAGCCCCTGCATTTTCTATTTCCTACATAAATAATTTCTTGAAGTCTTACCTGTGAGTTACAGATAATGGAAATAAAATTGGACAGAGCGTTGTCATAAAAGCTCTTACTGAGGTGGTTAGCCAAGTGATTGGGTATATTAAAGCAAAGGAATCAGCAAAAATAAAAACTCAACTAAGGCCATCACCACAGGGAAAGAGGATAAAAAAGAATGAAAAGAGAGGTCGTTTTGGTAGGTAGGATGGCAGTAGAATTTTGGTGGTATGAAGAGTATTTGGAGGTGATCAGGAGTAAATGAGGAGTAAATTTTAGTAAATCCCCTAAAATTCTATAGGATTATTAACTAATAATTAACCATTAAAAAAAAAGAAAGCATTTAGTAGGTTCACAAGCTAGGCAAGTTTTGGATTAAGGTAGTCCTAACTTCACTTGTTTTTCAGTTCCATTGTAAGCTATTAATGATCTTTTCTAATGTGTGGGTAAACCATTAAGTGCTTGAGGATGAACTACTTCAAGAATGAACTACCATTAGAATGAGAAAACCAGAAACTGGAAAAGAGCCCAATTTTGATTGTCAGGTGAGTAAGGTGAGGTGCATGCCTAATGCTTAGCCATGTTAACAACGACCAAAAAGTAGATACTGGTTGAACGAAGATCAGAATTGAAGTTCTCTAAATCAAAATTCTGCAAATTTCACAGAATGAGAATGAACTAGGATCCAGGATATTTTCAGCAAATCAAGGCATTATCCTGGTCTCACTGAAGAGAAGGACTTCAATAATAATTTGATGACCGTAATTTACTAAACACCAATGTAATCTACCAGTAACACTATTTTAACTGCATAAGCTTAGATACTGGAACAGAAGAAAAGTGCAATATGGTCACACACTACTTAGTGACAAAAAAATTGGCATATTTCTGATGATCACGTAGTGAAATGTGGCAGTTTAATTAAGCACAATGTCTCTTTGATGTAGGTACTGTTACTATTACTAGATGAAGACAGTTGGCAGAGAACAGCACAGGAATCAGGATTAGTTAGGACTGAAACCTATAGCCCAAATTCTTATCCACTAACTATTCTAATACACAGTGAAACCCGAAGTGTCACAACTTGAGAGGGAAGGCAACAGGACAACCTTCAATAAAAACTGAAGATTAAAGTTGAAAATAGGACCTTCAATATGGTTTTATCCTGATGAAGAGGAAATGGGAAGCTACTATCGCTTCTAAAGAAGGGTCGTTGGGTAATCAGGTTGCCTTCTATATGAAAAGTCATTTGCTACAGCATTAAAAAATATATACTGGAGAAACTCAACACCCCAGAGAAAGTATCAGGAGGCTGGGGCAGCAACACAAACCAGACACGAGGCCTTGAGCCAAGAGACAGGAGAATGGTCATCACAGGATGTTAGCAGCAGACACCAGAACTTGGTTATGTGTTGTGGGAGGAACAACGAGAAGGTGAATGACAATGGTACTTTTTAAGCAGGCAGCAGTTTCAGAGGAAGGGTTTTTTTCCTTTTTGGGGGGGTGGGGGGTGGGGTGGAGGGGTGAGACTGGGCCGCACCTAGCTGTGCTGATGGGTTATTCCTGGCTCTATGCTTGGGAATGACTCCTGGTAGTTCTCAGGGGACTGTATGTGGTGCGGGGGATTTGAACCAGGGTTGCAGCACACAAGGCATATGCCTTACCTCCTGTACTTTATCTTTCTGAGGAAAGGTTTTTAAGAAGAGGAAGAGTTGGTGCCACAGAGACAGTACAGTGGGTGAGTTAGCAGCAGACCCAGGTTTGATCCCCAACACTGCATATGGTCCTTCAAGCTCCTGAGCACTGCTGGGTTTGTGGCCCTTCCCCTCTTACCCCCAACCCTGCCTCTATCTCCCGCCAAAGAGGAGGAAGACAATTTCTATTTCAGATATGAGTTTGCAGGGGCTGAAGGTCAACCAACTAAGTTATGCTCATAATCAGACACAGAGTGCAGAGCGAAGTACGGGCTATATATAAATTTCTATCTAACTATAGCTATAGCCATTATGCACCACAGGGTGAAAGCAAATAGAGGCTATGAATTAGAGGAAAGCAATTTGAGACAGAGAACACAGAATGATGAGGGAATTCAGGAACTACATTATTTAGTGTTTGAGAAGAAAGATACAATTGAAAGGGAAAAGAACAAGCTATAAAAACACTAGACACAAGTAAAAATTTCTACATAGGCATTTACAAATTCCTGGCTTTAAAACAGAAATTTGTGGGAGTGCAGACTTCATGTATTTGAAGCCCTGGGTTCAACTCTTGGTACTTCTGCCTCCAAAGCAATAAGGCAAATATTTGGGTAAATTCGGGATATGTGAAAAAACTGACACAGGCTTATACTAAGAATATAATGATTTCATAAGTGAATTCTATTAGAAGTGGCTACTTGCCTATCTTGATTTCAATGGCGAGTAGTTAACAAGTTATCAGGTTGGTGAGGCAGGTGTAGGATAGTCTTTAGACTTTTGAGATATGACAAGGGGTAATGTCTATCTACAAAAGTCTATCTACATAGTCACATCTCCCCCCCCCCAGTAATAAGTCAGGACATAAAATCAATTAAAAATAGAATCAACACACAAAGACAAGTACTTCTTAATAATGTACTTATATTTATGCTGTACTAGTATGAAAAAAAATTTACATTACCTTATACACTTCACTAAAGCCACCTCTACCAAGCAGATGAAGTAATAAATATCTTTCATTTAATGTTGGGTGATCTTTGAACCTTAAGGGTGGGGAAAACAAACACTCAGGAAGATGAAAAGACACACAAAAAAGTACCTTACAATAAAATTTCACTTCCTTATCCTTTTTCCTAACTCAGTACAAATTTCAAATTCCACTCCATATTTTTTAATCCCTTCATCTCCATGACTATAGTTAACACCTTGCTGTTCAAAAAACTTAACTTACATAGCTGAATATTCAGGTTCAATGACCAATTAAAGTACTTGAAAAATACTTCACAACAACTATACTGCCAAATGTTTTATACAGTTCTACATCTATTCAGTAAGAATTACTTCCCTTGGAAAATTTTTATATTGGAAGTTATGGTTAATCAAGATTTTACAATATTGACATAGAGTAAGACTTAAATTAGTAAAATGGCCATCATAATTGATTAAATGTTACTATAAATTCTTTCTATAAATCCCCAAGTAGGAAAGAAAAACAACAAAACCCGAGTCCCACAACCAACCATGGACACTACTATTTAATGTAGTTAAACATCTAAATACATGGCAGGGCTTAACAGAAAAAACATGGATTCAACTCATGCACTCCTGATATGTCAATGATATTACTATGAGTGCAAATAAACTGAACAACAGCGACAGAGAGTAGAGGGTTTAAGGTATTTGTATGCTACTGTCCCTGGTATAATACTTGGTCCTGCAAAGTCCCTTAAGTATTGCTGGGAGCAACCTGAGTACTGCTGGATGAGGCTCACCACCCCCAAAATAAACAAGAAATATGATACTGCAACCATTCTCAACATATGTTAATTGGATTGGAAGTTATATCCACCAACAGTTTAAACATATTTTCGGAATAATCAAATGTAGGTTAGTTATACCCCACATGCTTTATTAGAGTATTTGTCAGGTAAAAAGTTATTTTTTGATATAATTTCATTCACTTGATACATTTTAATCTAGCAATAAATTCTAGGCAGATAAATAGAAATGTTTTTTTTTTATTTTTCAATTTTTTAAAAAGTTTTTGGGCCACACTGGCAGTGTTTAGGGGTTACTCCTGGCAGTGCTTGGGGATCGTAAGGGATGCCAGGGATTAAATCCAAGTTCTAGGCAGACACCTTACCCACTGTACCATATTGCTCTAAGTTCCTGATATGTGTCTTTTTAAGCAAGATATCTGTTTCACAGCTATATTGGCTACTTTCAATTCTGATACTTAAAAGTCAGGAAACTTTAAATTACATGACAACTCTTAAAATGGAGTTGTCTATATCAATTACAACTTAGTAAGCTCTGCTTAATTTCCATCTTGTTCAGTTTCTAACTTCTTAAGCTCCCATCAGTCAACAGATATTTTCGCTTAATTTCTACAGCATTTAATATTTTTGGCATGTGATTTTACAAACTGAAATTATACAGACACTTTTAACTTGTACTTTCCCCATGCTAATTACTGAATAATGTTGAACACATGACTTACTGTAATCTATTTAGTAAAATAAATCCTCCTCCACTACTGTAACATTATCTTCAGCATTATTCAGTCAACAAGTATTTATAGCGTGTCAATCAATTACTAGATCCTGGTTTAGGTTCTGAGGATACAGCAAGAACAAAACTAAATCCTGGGCCACAGAAGAGATCCCAAAGGACTGAAGCATGAGGCTTGAATCTCAGGTTCAGCACTATATGGGCCTCCAAACAGAGCTGGGAGCAGTCCCAAGTACTGCCAAGTGTGGCCTCCAGAAGAAAGCTACAATATCCCTACTCTACAAGTAGCTAACAGGCAGTGCAAGGAGACAGATATTAAATGAAAAATAAACTCATAACTCCAAATAGTGGTAAGTATTATGAAACAAGGGAAGGATAGGGAAAGTGAGAGAGGGAATGGAATGCAAAGAAAGAACTGCTGTTTTAAATATGGGAGTCAAGGGATAGCTTCTCTAATAAAGTATGATAAGAAGCAAGTATATTTTTCACATATTTCGAAGGAACATTTACTTCAACTAAGTGCAAAAGCCTTAAGAAGATGAGCTTGACCTGTTGAAGAGTGCCAGTTGTATAAGTTGTAAGTGAAGAGAGATGAGGTGGTGAGGTTGACAGAGGCCAGACAATATAAAAAACCAAGGGAAGCAATAGGAAGGACTCATGATTTTTTTTTCTAAATGTACCACATGGCCCAAAACAAAGCTCACCACAGCAGGGGAAAAAACTTTTATCATGAAAAACTGTAAAATACCAAAAACTTACTGAGAATTATCTTCATTGTTTATTCTTTTAAGCTCTCGAATATGAAGATTTCTGACTCGTTCCAAACGTTCAAGTTCTGCCTGAATTTCTGCTTCTTCCTGAAATTGAAAAGAGGGGACTATAACAAGCTCAATTTATTTGTGATATAAAGAGTATTTTTACCCTTGTATCATTACCCACCTGCCCCCCCCAATGATGGAAAGACTAGTATACATAAAATGCCATAGAGTTAAAACACCAAAATGCTCTTTTCAATGCCTGAAAGATGGAAAGACATATGGCACAAGTCTATTTCAAGAAACCATCCTACACAGAAAATCTATACCTAATGAGATGCTGAATTTTATTCTTATACTACAAGAAATCTATTTTTATAATGTCTAAAGTAAAGAAAATGCAAGGTAGTCTGAAACTCTTAACAGAAAATAGGCAGAAAATTTGATTTTTGTTCTATCCAAAGTCTAAGTGGGAATAATTTTCAATATAAAAAAATGAAATCAAGATATTTTACAATAGTTAAAGGACGATGAAAGGGAAAAGACGGAATTACTGATTATTTATAATCTTACAATAGTTAGTAGAAATATACACACAATCTCGGCACTCAGTTTGGATAAATTCCAACAAAATCCCAGAGACATTAAAGCAAGCATTTCATAGCAATTTTTCATGTCTTAAAGCACATAAAAAGCACTACTAGATAGCCAATTTCTGTCATTCTCTCTCTCTCTCTCTCTCTCTCTCTCTCTCTCTCTCTCTCTCTCTCTCTCACACACACACACACACACAGGCAACACAGATACCCTGTCCTTCAATAAGAAATAAGTGTATAACTTATAGGATAAAAAAAAAGTAGCACTTTTAAATGGAACAGTCTAGAAACATCCACTTAAAAAAGCTAGTTTAATTTCTGTGCTTAGCAGTGCTCAGCACTTATTCCTGGTGATACATGGGGGGACCTCGACCATGCTGAGGATTGAACCAGCACTGGCTGACTAGCACCATAATCCTTGCACTATCTTTTTTCATCCCCCAAAATATCTAATTATAATTTAATAAATATTTTTTGTAAATAAACATAGACTGCTCAGGCCTAGTTGTATTATGTGTTATTGTTAGAAATTAATACCACACAACACAGAGGTTATTGCTGAAAACTGAACTTAAATATTTACTCTTTCTGGTGATTTATCCTTTGGTATTTAAAAACATTATATATATAAAACAAAAATATATTTTATTTAACACAAAAGTACTAGTATAGTAACTATCTAAAGCTTAATATTTTGGGGGTCACACCTGGTTCTGTGCTCAGTAGTCACTCCCAGAGTATCTCTGAGGATCATATGTGATGCTGAGGATAGAACTGGGGCTGGACATGAGCAAGGAAAATGCCTTCACCTGGTACTATCCAGCCCAATACCTTAATTATTTAGAGATGGAAATCAAATACAAATTGTTGCAGAGATGATTAAAGATCAGACATACATGACAAAATTAAAAATGAATAAAAACCAACTTTATAGGATTTGGGGAGATTTTTAAAAGATAGATACACTAGACCAGTGTTTCTCTGTTGGGGGCTATATGCCCTTCTGTGTATCTAAAGGATGAATATCCAAAGGATGTCATAGATGAGAATCATGTAATGGGGAGGGCCACAACACAAGACCAGGGGACAACTGACAGGACAGATGACATGGTTGGAGAAACACTGAACCTAACAATCTTAATTTAAGTGAAATTTCCCCACTTAATGAAACTTCATAGAAGCTTTCTTGGGGGGGTGGAGAAGGAGATGAACACAGCTGGTGGTGCTGGGGGTGGGCCATGGGGTGGTAGGGATCTAACTTGGTGCTCTTTACATATAAGGTAAGTGCTCCAGCCCTTGGAACCATTTCCTCCGTCCTAATGTTGCTTCAGACACAAATATTTCTCATTTTAATTAAAAAGGCAATATCCTAGGAGATTAATAATGAAAGATTCATTATAAGGATATAAAATGTATTAGGAAGCTTTGAAACAATAAACCAAAACTACAGTTTAGCCATTTTAATCATACAAAATAGAGCAAGAAAATGACTTATGAAGATATGCCCCTAAGGATGGAAAAAAAAATCTAATTTATTTACACCACAGAACAAGAAAACAGTAAGTTTTTCTCTTCCTAATTAACGCGCAAACTACTTAACAAGTGTTAAGCTGGTGGAATTTTTAAAACAATTAGATAGAACTGTAAAATGCCAACTAAAATATGAGTTAAAACTCTTCTAAACTTTTGTTTTAGTTTTTGGCTATACCGAATAGGGCTCAAGGATCATTCCTGGAGGGGTTTGAGGGAACCATATGAGGTACCAGGGGTGGAACCCATGTTGACCACGTGCAAGGCAAGCAGACTTACCTTCTAAATTATTATCTCTCAGGCTCCCAACTGCCTCACCTTTTATTTGAAATCGTAGTATGGGGATCAGGATATAGTACATAAATATATAGTTATAAGATTCATCAGTTTGTTGACACAAAGTTATATTTATTTTACAGTTTTGGGTGATCTTCAGTTATCTGTATGATGGTAAAACTATCACAAAACAGTACTTCAAAAAATAAAATGTACATTTGTATCATCCTTGTCTCTTAAAATAATGGGGGAACCGTAGCACTGTCCTCCAGTTTTTTCATCGATTTGCTTGAGCAGGCCCAGTAATGTCTCCATCGTGAGACTTGTTACTGTGTTTGGAATATCGAATACGTCACAGGTAGCTTGCGAGGCTTTGCCATGCGGGCGAGATACTTGGTAGCTTTGCCGGGCTCTCCGAGAGAAACTGAACTCTGGGTCGGCTTTGTGGGCCGCGTGCAAGGCAAATGTCCTACCTGCTGTGCTATCGCTCCAGCCCAATGTGGGAACTATGTCCCAAAACCTTACAAAACAAAAGCATAGGGACACTTTGTTCAGTTTGAACTGTAAGTTATAAGAGAAAACTGGGAAGAACTAGGGGGAAAAACCTGGATACTAGACATTTAAAAGAAAGTATCAAAGGACTAATGAAATAAATTTACTTCTTTGTTGTAATTTAGTATCTATTAGACAGTATCTTGGACCTTAAAACAAAATGATACACTTTCTGGGGAGAAAGATAATTCTGTAATTTCTCTTAAATACCACTGAGACTGAGGTTTGTGGCCCCCTGAAATTCCTACGTTTAAAGTTTAAATCCTTGTATGAGGATATCTGAGATGGGGACTGTGGGAAGTACTATGAGTGAGACTAGACCATAAGGAGGGGGTCTCATCATGGGATTAGTAGCCACTTAGAGAGAGAGAGAGAGAAAAATCCCTTTATCTCCTCCCAATGGGGCAGAGAAAAGGCAGCTTCACCAGATACTGAAACCAGCTGTACCTTGATCTTGGGTTTCCAGCCATCAAAAACCGTAAGAAAATATACTTCTGTTGTTTAAGCCACCAAGTATACAGTAACTCTTTATTGCAGCTTTAATAGATTAACACACAGACTTAGTATCTCAGTCTTCTCTCCATATTAAAAAGGGGCAAGGCCCAGGATACAATAATCAAGAATGAGCCTCAACAACAAATTTATCTTTGGGACAGATCATGTCCAAAAATCTATCCTGTAGGTTTTGCTCTCCTTTCTTGAGATGAACATTAGCCCATGGCTCTTCCCAGAATTAATCTTTATCAGAGGGCTCAGAAGAAGCAACTGTGACTAGGTTCACAACTGACTTCAGTTCACTAAAGAATGAAACATTCAAAGGCATGGCAAAGCTAGTCAAGATCATGAAATCAAGAAATAAACTAATCGTCTATTCTGTACTAAATTTATCAGGTTTTAATCCTTGATTCATTTACTACCTGAGCAGTTCAAGCAAAGGTAGCCAACAGTACCTCCAGAAGGGAACTAATCTCTGTAGACAAGTATGGTGTAGAACTAGTATGAATGAAATTGTATTAAAGGGAGATAGGTTTGGAGGTCAGATATGAAAAGGACATGGCTCTCACTTTTAAACAAACACAACAAGCAATTAAAAAATACACACTGAAGGGGCTGGAGCAATAGCACAGTGGGTAGGGCGTTTGCCTTGCATGCGGCGGATCCAGATTCGATTCCCAGCATCCCATATGGTCCCCCGAGCACTGCCAGGTATAATTCCTGAGTGCATAAGCCAGGAGTAACCCCTGTGCATCGCCGGGTGTGACCCAAAAGGAAAAAAACATATATACACTGGAGTTATTTTAACAGATTTTCATTTACTTATTAATTTATTAAGTTTTTGGGCCACACCCAGCCATGCTCAGGGCTTGCTCCTGGCTCTGAGCTTAGGGATCACTTCTGATGGAGCTCCAGGAACTATATGGGATTCTGGGGAATGAATGTGGGTCAGTCACATGCAAGGCAATTCCCTTACTCACTGTACTATCTCTCTGCCCCCTGCCCTCACAAACAGTGGTCTTTTAAAAAGTGGTTTGCAGGTGCCAAAAGGTTTACCTGCAAAGTAAGTGCCTTCTAAAATTTTTAACTTAAATTTTTTTACACAGAAGGTAAATTCCACAGCAAACAATTAGTTCCTCACCAGATGTTGGGCATAGAAATACTTTTAATTTGTAGCCAAAGTCTCTTTTGGGGACTTAATAGCCACTAAGATCAATATTCTAAATTGAAAGTAAGTTAAAGTACATAGAATCTATATAAAACAACATAGGTCGATCTGGAATATCTTCGAGCATTTTAAAAAGGGCAGCTATTAAAAGAACGGTGGGGTATGTAGGCATTTGAGCCATAAAAAACTTGGTTATAAAATGAATTTTCACATGTAAAACCAATATATTTCCTGAAAAAAGAAAAAAACTCTAAGCAAACTAGTTTAAATTTTATGAGCAAATCTTGAATAAAACCCACTTAAAATTTATTTTTGATATGTTCTTTAGGTCACACCTGGCAGGTTCAGGGTATATTCCTAGCTCTGTGCTCAGGGATCACTTCTGCAGGGTTCCACAGGCAGTATTAGGAATTGAACTCAGGTCAGCATGTGTCAGGCAAGCACCTTCTCACATATCTCTCTGTTGCTGAAAGTAACTGTAAAGA